AGAATAGGGCCATACTTACCTAATAAAGTTTGCCTAGAGAGGCAACCCAAGACTGAAACGTCTTGTCCAAGAAAGTGACACCATCAGAACGACTCAGAATGACACCAGCAGCAAAATCACTGCAACTCTCACTACCACAAAGCTACTTAGGATGAGCAGGTTGGCCACAACAAACACTTAACATCAGGCATGATAGCATACAACACCCAATATCTTCAACTTCTTGTCAGAAATGACCAATTCCCTCTTTTGCCACTTGGCCATCAGATAATAAACATTAATCACAACTGTCAAACTGGGTCATTAAAATCAGGGTTTGATCTCATTCGCAGTTAACTTAAATATAATAAAAAATACTAAATACATCCTATTTCCTTGCAGTGAATGGATTTCAAAGAGTGTTAAACTCTTGGAGGAGCATTGAATATTAACTGAAACCAGTTCAGGACTTCAGGAGTGATTCATCATTTTATTGCTACAGTCCTGTTTCGTATGGTCAAAGAGTGACCACACTCATCAGCCAACATCATGTTGCCATGATGAGTGTGGTCACTTTTTGACCATACGAAACAGGACTGTAGCAATAAAACAATGAATCACTCCTGAAGTCCTGAACTGGTTTCAATTAATAAGATTAAATACATATATAAATAGCAACAAAGTAATCTGGGCTTGTAGTACATGCATGCAAAACCTTGCATTCAGAAGTAAGCTCAAAAATTAGTTGTTGAATCTTATTAGTTTTGATTTTGCACCAACTTAATATTATCATTCTGAACTAATTGTAACACTTTAAAATTCATTTATTACTGTCACTGAAAGATTAGAAAACAACAAAACCAAAATCATATACTACATTATTGATGAATACATAAGCCATGCACCCACCATGCCACCAATTTCTTGATAGAACTTGAGAGCAGTTGCAGCTGAAGTGTAAGGTGTGTGATCAATAGTACCTTGCTGAAAGAACCTGTCCTGAAGGCTCTTGTCATGGCTCCATGACACAATTGATGGAACTATGATGTCATTGAATTTGGGGCTCACCCACAGTATGGCACAACCACGTGGAGCGAACAGCCATTTATGAAGATTTCCTAGTAAGTGGGGAAAAATGACTTAACATTATGAAAAAATTAATTGTGAACCGCTTGGAAATGGATTATAAACAACTTTCTAACTGAAAAGCTGGGTATTGACAAGAGAGTAACTACCCTTTATTACTGAACAGATATAAACATATTTTCATGATCAGACGATCACCAGGATGCTTGAATCAGCTTACAATGTTTGCAGGAGCACTATGTACAGGAAATTTAACAAACAAAAGTTGCTGTAATCTCACTCTTTTGCATTTGTACGGAGTGAAAAATCTATGAAACCTGTAGTTTTGGTCACTTTAGTCTGACATTTAAAGATCAAAGGATGTCATTTTATTTTACTCTTTCCAGTTGTAAGAAAATCCTTGTCTGTTGCCCTGGTTTTCTCTACTCTAGCAATTACAAATGCATGATATAGCTTTACTTTGTTAATGAAATAATTTTAAAATTGTACATTATAGTTAATAAACTGTATCTTAATTAACTGAACCTGCTGTTAGTGAGCTTTAATCTATAAAAAGGCAAGTCGACCACACAGCAATGTTTCAGCCCGAAAATTTTACTTGAGGGCCAAATTGGCCCCTGAAGATCTTTTTTAGGGGCCAATTTTTTCGGAAAGGGGCCAATAAATTGAAAGCTACAGAAGGAAAAAAAGCATCAGGGTACCAAGAAAAAAAACCAGCTTATTAGGATCTATGATAAAATTTAATATTAAGTGCTTTTTGAAGTGTTTCTACTCTATAAACTTTCTTTTGAATCAGATACCAGTATGAAGGATCCGTGTATTACAAGAGAACAATCCTTAGGCATACCTGACCTAGTCAATGATCAAGGGTTTGCAATGCATTATAGGACGTTTTTTAACACGGTCAGCCATTTGGAAGTTTTACGATGTGAGAGAATCAACAGACCAAAACAAAAGGACGGATTGGCTTCTTTTCTTATGTTGAATGTTTTAGAATGTTGAACGTTTTTCAATATGATTTCTAGAAGGACATTATGTGTGACAAAATAACCGTTGTTGATCGTCAACACACAGAAATGTAGTCGGCATTATGGGAACTAAACCAGAATTTTTGGTTGCCAAGGATGAAACGTTAGTTGCATTGGTGACCGATACTGTCGCAATTTCAAGCCCTGGGATGGCTTTTAAAATACTATGGCTGTGTTAAGCCTGCAGCCTTGTAAAAAGAAAGGGCCAAATTGTCCCTTTTTTCGTTTTTCTGGGGGCCATCTCTGATTCCAACGCGGGATTCCTGCAATGGCGTGGTTTGGCGGAAACACTGCACAGTTAAATGAAAGCTTCAAAATTTTGTCAAGATTGTTGGCTAGGAATATCATAGAGATTATAGCCACACTATGACGAGTTATTCCCTCTATATAGTGTGTCTGCAGGAAAATATGGTACTTCTGTTCATTACAATAAAACAAGTCCAATTATTATAGTGGAATACAACTTATGCGATTCCCTGCAGATGCATTTCATGGAGAAAAAATGATCACTAAACAAACAAAATGAACAATAGCAAACTCAACTAATGAATCTGATAAAAATTGTTTAACTTACCAACAAAGAAGTCTGCCCCAAGCTTGTTAAGATCCAAAGGAATTTGTCCAGGAGCATGGGCACCATCAACCAACACCAAAACATTATGCTTATGGCAGACCTCAGTAAGCTTCTTAACTGGAAGCTTCAATGCGCTAATACTAGTAATTGAATCTACGATTGCCAGCTTTACATTTGGGTTTTCCTGTAAAACTTTCTCATAGTGTTGGACAACCTCAGTAGCATGGTACTTAACAGACCCAGTCATGTCTGATGTTGGAAATGTAATATTAAGGACCAGTAATTTGGCTTTCTTCTCTCGGCAGATCTCCTGTGCTGTCATCTGGACAGAACCATAAGTTTGATTTGTTATAAGAATGCCATCACCCTCATTAAAATCAATACACTTGAGAACTGTGTTGATACCAGATGTTGCATTAGCAACAAACACCATGTCTTTGACATCTGCTCCAACAAACTTGGCTATAGCTTCTAGAGATGAGTTCCACAGATTCTGCACCTTGTATCTGAACCAAGCATCTGGACATTTTTCCATCTCTTCCTGGGTATTAAAGGAAGAATTTGCGACAAACTGAAATTAATTAATTATGCCATAAAATTCAATCTATAAAATTAATAAATAAGGGAAGGGTGGCCATGGAATGCCAGGAAGAACGCTCAAGTCCGCTCGCTACACTATTCTTAGGGGTAAAACAACTAAAAGCATGTGATGTAAGGCCAGCCCAAAGAGAACAGATGACCACTGACTCTCACTAGGCAAAAAACTGTCACACTGCTAACAACAGTGAAGTGGCCAATAAAGACTTCAAGCTGATGAAAACATGAATACTGTTAACATTCAAATTCTTACAGAAAAACACTAACTGCACTTAACATCAGCACTTTGTCTTCATAGTTAACTAGGTCACATTGCATTTGACTGCGTTAATTACCTGAAATTGCCATCGAGCCTCCATAACTCTCTTAGGAACAGTACCAAATGATCCATGGTTAGTCACTATGACACCATTATCAAGCATAAACTTGCTCTTTTTCATATTTTTGCCATACATAGCTTGCCTGTAGTCTGGGCCAAATATGAAAGTGAACACCGCACTGACTGACTTGATCACTGCTGCCCACCACACAAACACAACAAATGTTCCAAGTTGACAAAGCCTAGAGTGAAAAATACAAAAGTCATTGTTTCTATAAGAAATTATATGCACTACAAGAACTCAGTTTAAGCTCAATATATATAGAAATATCTCCATACAACAAGATACCCACATCACAGACATACTTTAAAGGGGCTAGGTCACGCTATTTTAGGTAATTTTGTTTAATTTTGTTAATTATGAGTTCTAAATGTCAAATTGGCAGAGCAAAAGTCTTTCATTTGCAAAATCACGGCCACATAACAACTGAGAATGATTTTCCAGCTGTGTAAATGACATTTTGANATGGCCACATGATACGAATGGATAAATATAATGAAATTCCACCTGGATAAAATCATTAAGTGCATAATATCTTCATCGACCAACACACCCGTTATTCTAGCTGTTGGACAACATACATTAACTATAGCTTAGAAATAAATAACATACTTCATAAATCACTCCTCAACAAAGAAATTCCACGTTGCAGACGTCCGGTCAGAAATAGCCCTTTTCACAGTTGACTTTTCTGATTTGCATCATAATGCAATCTAGCATGCGTGTGAGGCAATTTTGCACTATTTTGTAGTTTTAGCCCAAAATTGCCTTGCATCCAAGTTGGATTAAACTGTAAAGCAAATGAAAAAACTATCTGTGAAAAGGGCTATCGATCACATCGATGACTTCAAAAATGTGGTAAGAACAAAAGAAAGTGGCACAAGAGCTCTTAGGCGAGTATGGCACTGATGTTCTTACCACATTTTGATGTCTTCTGTGATCAATTACTGAGCAGAAAAAAAAAAATAAATGAAGTCACCTACAAGTCTGTCCTCCAACTGATTATAAGTAAGAACCATTAAAAATGGGCTTAATTCTTTTAGTTACCAGGCAGCCAAATCCTGAAACACACTTCCAAATCAATATCGCACTGTTACAGATTGAACATCTTCTGCAAATTTCTAACATTAGGTAGCTTGAAGAAATAAGTAGCAATGCTACTTTGTAAATTCAAGGGTAAATTAAGTTTATGATGATGAAAATTGGAGAATAAATAACCAATAGTCTTCATTTGGCGTGGAAATATACTGCTTGGATATTTGTCCGCCAACATTATCTGTTCTGAGAAGCAAACAGTTTTCTGAGAGCACAGCTCAAGGAAAATTGTGAGCTTTGAGGAACATATAATGTCCAAGGACAAATATCCAAGCAAATTTTCACGCCAAATGGAGGCTATTGTGTTAATAATCCTTCAAATATTTTCCTAACACGCGTTTTAGCACTTCAGCACTTTAGCTGGGGAGTATTCAGTCATCTGACACGTTTAAATGAATCGTGTGCAAGTGAAAACATATGACGGATTATAATTCAACATTTTATATAAACTGTTATATATTTACCACAGTAGTCTGTTCTGGCCAGCTGAGAAACAGTGCTAACAATGACAAATAGAAAAAAGATGAGGGGTTTCTCCCTGAATAAGTTTACCTCATCTTGTTTTTACAAAGAAGCTACAAGAAGAGGACTGGATTCAAAGGCTAACATTCTTTGCACTATTCTCCAACTGACCTAATGGCTGGAACAGGTTGTAATAAACAGTGATATTTGAGAGCCTTTACTAATTATCTACCTTAATTTTCTACTAATTAGCATGATTGACATGCAGTCATCACATGACATTAATACAAAAGGAAAAAACTCAAAATTTTACACATCTGGTTTTTTCAATGTGGCTCTTCACTCCATGACCATCTGTTGGGCTCGGAGGCCTTCTCCACATCTGGACAATACCCGTTAACACATTCCTCCTTTAACATGAGGACAGCTTCAGCCAGCTGCATGTAATCCTCCTTAACATTGTACACTTGAGCTGATACTCGGCACCACAAGGAGGCCTGCACACTGACAAAAGTAGCAACAACTTTGTACTTGTTGTAGACATCGCTAATCATCTTATGAGCTCCTTCACATGTTGCACCATAGGCTACAGACATTTCACTTGGGATGCGGATGACTGCCATGCATGGAGCACGTATGGAGTCTGGGATGGGAAGTACCTCTGTGTCCCAAGCTTCTGCTAGCATTGTTGAAGCCCAAGATGCAAGTTGGCTGTTGTACTTTGTTATGGCGCTCTAGTCACAACAAAAAACAAATAAGATGAACTATACTTGATTCCAACTACAGCAGGTAAGTCTTTACAAGTCTGGTGGTATGAGACCACTAGAGGAATTTCTGATTCCTGAGTAAGGGATGCTAGCCCATTGCAGGCCACCAACTCCCCTGCACTGCAATAATGGGTAATTGTGAAGAACAGCTCCTGTAAAACTGTCAGTAACCTGTCAGTAGCCTGTTGGTAGCTTATAAGTAACCTGTTGGTAACCTGTCAGCCACTGAACAGTTGACTGACAGTCAGTTTGCGATCTTTTCTTCATATCATTGTCATCATAGTCCTAGCTCTCCTCTGGGTCCAATCAGGGAGAATAGGGCCATACTTACCTAATAAAGTTTGCCTAGAGAGGCAACCCAAGACTGAAACGTCTTGTCCAAGAAAGTGACACCATCAGAACGACTCAGAATGACACCAGCAGCAAAATCACTGCAACTCTCACTACCACAAAGCTACTTAGGATGAGCAGGTTGGCCACAACAAACACTTAACATCAGGCATGATAGCATACAACACCCAATATCTTCAACTTCTTGTCAGAAATGACCAATTCCCTCTTTTGCCACTTGGCCATCAGATAATAAACATTAATCACAACTGTCAAACTGGGTCATTAAAATCAGGGTTTGATCTCATTCGCAGTTAACTTAAATATAATAAAAAATACTAAATACATTCTAAATACATCCTATTTCCTTGCAGTGAATGGATTTCAAAGAGTGCTCAACTCTTGGAGGAGCATTGAATATTAACTGAAACCAGTTCAGGACTTCAGGAGTGATTCATCGTTTTATCGCTACAGTCCTGTTTCGTATGGTCAAAGAGTGACCACACTCATCAGGCAACATCATGTTGCCATGATGAGTGTGGTCACTGTTTGACCATACGAAACAGGACTGTAGCAATAAAACGATGAATCACTCCTGAAGTCCTGAACTGGTTTCAATTAATAAGATTAAATACATATATAAATAGCAACAAAGTAATCTGGGCTTGTAGTACATGCATGCAAAACCTTGCATTCAGAAGTAAGCTCAAAAATTAGTTGTTGAATCTTATTAGTTTTGATTTTGCACCAACTTAATATTATCATTCTGAACTAATTGTAACACTTTAAAATTCATTTATTACTGTCACTGAAAGATTAGAAAACAACAAAACCAAAATCATATACTACATTATTGATGAATACATAAGCCATGCACCCACCATGCCACCAATTTCTTGATAGAACTTGAGAGCAGTTGCAGCTGAAGTGTAAGGTGTGTGATCAATAGTACCTTGCTGAAAGAACCTGTCCTGAAGGCTCTTGTCATGGCTCCATGACACAATTGATGGAACTATGATGTCATTGAATTTGGGGCTCACCCACAGTATGGCACAACCACGTGGAGCGAACAGCCATTTATGAAGATTTCCTAGTAAGTGGGGAAAAATGACTTAACATTATGAAAAAATTAATTGTGAACCGCTTGGAAATGGATTATAAACAACTTTCTAACTGAAAAGCTGGGTATTGACAAGAGAGTAACTACCCTTTATTACTGAACAGATATAAACATATTTTCATGATCAGACGATCACCAGGATGCTTGAATCAGCTTACAATGTTTGCAGGAGCACTATGTACAGGAAATTTAACAAACAAAAGTTGCTGTAATCTCACTCTTTTGCATTTGTACGGAGTGAAAAATCTATGAAACCTGTAGTTTTGGTCACTTTAGTCTGACATTTAAAGATCAAAGGATGTCATTTTATTTTACTCTTTCCAGTTGTAAGAAAATCCTTGTCTGTTGCCCTGGTTTTCTCTACTCTAGCAATTACAAATGCATGATATAGCTTTACTTTGTTAATGAAATAATTTTAAAATTGTACATTATAGTTAATAAACTGTATCTTAATTAACTGAACCTGCTGTTAGTGAGCTTTAATCTATAAAAAGGCAAGTCGACCACACAGCAATGTTTCAGCCCGAAAATTTTACTTGAGGGCCAAATTGGCCCCTGAAGATCTTTTTTAGGGGCCAATTTTTTCGGAAAGGGGCCAATAAATTGAAAGCTACAGAAGGAAAAAAAGCATCAGGGTACCAAGAAAAAAAACCAGCTTATTAGGATCTATGATAAAATTTAATATTAAGTGCTTTTTGAAGTGTTTCTACTCTATAAACTTTCTTTTGAATCAGATACCAGTATGAAGGATCCGTGTATTACAAGAGAACAATCCTTAGGCATACCTGACCTAGTCAATGATCAAGGGTTTGCAATGCATTATAGGACGTTTTTTAACACGGTCAGCCATTTGGAAGTTTTACGATGTGAGAGAATCAACAGACCAAAACAAAAGGACGGATTGGCTTCTTTTCTTATGTTGAATGTTTTAGAATGTTGAACGTTTTTCAATATGATTTCTAGAAGGACATTATGTGTGACAAAATAACCGTTGTTGATCGTCAACACACAGAAATGTAGTCGGCATTATGGGAACTAAACCAGAATTTTTGGTTGCCAAGGATGAAACGTTAGTTGCATTGGTGACCGATACTGTCGCAATTTCAAGCCCTGGGATGGCTTTTAAAATACTATGGCTGTGTTAAGCCTGCAGCCTTGTAAAAAGAAAGGGCCAAATTGTCCCTTTTTTCGTTTTTCTGGGGGCCATCTCTGATTCCAACGCGGGATTCCTGCAATGGCGTGGTTTGGCGGAAACACTGCACAGTTAAATGAAAGCTTCAAAATTTTGTCAAGATTGTTGGCTAGGAATATCATAGAGATTATAGCCACACTATGACGAGTTATTCCCTCTATATAGTGTGTCTGCAGGAAAATATGGTACTTCTGTTCATTACAATAAAACAAGTCCAATTATTATAGTGGAATACAACTTATGCGATTCCCTGCAGATGCATTTCATGGAGAAAAAATGATCACTAAACAAACAAAATGAACAATAGCAAACTCAACTAATGAATCTGATAAAAATTGTTTAACTTACCAACAAAGAAGTCTGCCCCAAGCTTGTTAAGATCCAAAGGAATTTGTCCAGGAGCATGGGCACCATCAACCAACACCAAAACATTATGCTTATGGCAGACCTCAGTAAGCTTCTTAACTGGAAGCTTCAATGCGCTAATACTAGTAATTGAATCTACGATTGCCAGCTTTACATTTGGGTTTTCCTGTAAAACTTTCTCATAGTGTTGGACAACCTCAGTAGCATGGTACTTAACAGACCCAGTCATGTCTGATGTTGGAAATGTAATATTAAGGACCAGTAATTTGGCTTTCTTCTCTCGGCAGATCTCCTGTGCTGTCATCTGGACAGAACCATAAGTTTGATTTGTTATAAGAATGCCATCACCCTCATTAAAATCAATACACTTGAGAACTGTGTTGATACCAGATGTTGCATTAGCAACAAACACCATGTCTTTGACATCTGCTCCAACAAACTTGGCTATAGCTTCTAGAGATGAGTTCCACAGATTCTGCACCTTGTATCTGAACCAAGCATCTGGACATTTTTCCATCTCTTCCTGGGTATTAAAGGAAGAATTTGCGACAAACTGAAATTAATTAATTATGCCATAAAATTCAATCTATAAAATTAATAAATAAGGGAAGGGTGGCCATGGAATGCCAGGAAGAACGCTCAAGTCCGCTCGCTACACTATTCTTAGGGGTAAAACAACTAAAAGCATGTGATGTAAGGCCAGCCCAAAGAGAACAGATGACCACTGACTCTCACTAGGCAAAAAACTGTCACACTGCTAACAACAGTGAAGTGGCCAATAAAGACTTCAAGCTGATGAAAACATGAATACTGTTAACATTCAAATTCTTACAGAAAAACACTAACTGCACTTAACATCAGCACTTTGTCTTCATAGTTAACTAGGTCACATTGCATTTGACTGCGTTAATTACCTGAAATTGCCATCGAGCCTCCATAACTCTCTTAGGAACAGTACCAAATGATCCATGGTTAGTCACTATGACACCATTATCAAGCATAAACTTGCTCTTTTTCATATTTTTGCCATACATAGCTTGCCTGTAGTCTGGGCCAAATATGAAAGTGAACACCGCACTGACTGACTTGATCACTGCTGCCCACCACACAAACACAACAAATGTTCCAAGTTGACAAAGCCTAGAGTGAAAAATACAAAAGTCATTGTTTCTATAAGAAATTATATGCACTACAAGAACTCAGTTTAAGCTCAATATATATAGAAATATCTCCATACAACAAGATACCCACATCACAGACATACTTTAAAGGGGCTAGGTCACGCTATTTTAGGTAATTTTGTTTAATTTTGTTAATTATGAGTTCTAAATGTCAAATTGGCAGAGCAAAAGTCTTTCATTTGCAAAATCACGGCCACATAACAACTGAGAATGATTTTCCAGCTGTGTAAATGACATTTTGATATAAACTGATATAAATTTGAAAAAAGGTGGGCCGATGTTTTTCAAATTTACCCAAATGCAATCCATTTTAATCCTCTCCAGTTTTGCCCATCCATGTCCCTTCTAGGCTTTTCTGTGTTTTGCTCGAGATCTTCTATAGTTTTGAGCTGTTTTTGTGATATTTTAGTTAATTCTATGACCATTTGATCAGTGCTGAAATTGCCTAAAATTGCGTGACCTAGTCCTTTTAAAGTGGCTTTCATCACAAGCTTTATTTGAGAACATTTTCTGAAGGAAATAGTCAATTTTCACCTTGCACCTCATTGTGTAAACACTTTGGAAAGAAGCACTAAGGATTCGTGATTCTCTAGATGCATTTCTCCATGTCCTTTGAAAATTCCTGTTTAATATTATGTGATATAAATGATTCAACTCAACAATGCAATCAAGCATGATGACTATTCCCTAATTATACTAATAATCGATTGCATTCATTTGTTGGTATGATGCCAAATATGATAAAAAAAAACTACGATTTTAACAGAAAGGCCACCACCAAGGTGGCTGTTTTGTTGCTAAGAATCATGTGCTTATTGGAAAATGACCATGGCCATTCAAGGTGTTTTGAAGGTGGTTGAGGTTCACCCAAGGGTTTCCAAAGATACCCAGAACCTTTATAAAGATTTCCAATCTTCTGAAGATTTTCCAACGTCATTTGAGGTTTTACAAATATTTTTGGAATATTCCGAAGATGGGCCCTGCAGGTAGTCTATTTTTTAAGAGTATCAAAAGCAAGTAATGTAATCACATGATATTCTTGTGCAATTTTGAAAAAAAAAAGCACTTTTAAATTTTTCTAAGACTACAATCTACTCTCCGCCTTATCCCGTTGAATAATTTACCCTGCGTGGTTGTTTATTCCAAGTAGCAATTGAAATCATACATGTGTTACTGTATACCTCCACATATCAGCCGTTTTACATAGGATTTCAATAAGCTCCAAGTCGGGTCCATAGTTCCAAGTTGGTCTCCTATTACCAACTATATCGGGTCTGACTGATTTCCTTCAACCAAGGAGCAACTCAACTTCGATCTTTAGACATTACATTAAATGTTGTGCCACAGTACCTTCTGATACGGCTTCCTTGCAACGAATCAACGTCCATGTCCATTACGACAAGTCATAAAACTTGAAACACAACTACAACTTTTCTCATACGAGTTTCCAAATTTTGGACCGAATTCCGAATTAATTAGCTCTCAAGCTGAATCAGAATACAAAATTTGCAAGTGTGGATGAACACTTAATTAAGTTAAGAGTGATCTATACAAGAACATATTTCGTCAATTCTTTCGATCATCTGTGAAGTCAGAAGATCACCGCATCACCGAACAAATTTCATCGATCCCAGATCCCCCAGACCCAGAAGCGTCATTCTAATATCCCATAATGCATTTCAAGCGACGCTTTCGGAGTGCGTCATTTCGCTCGGACTGTTCGTTTCCTCGGTGTTTTAGATTTCTTCCCAGGTATAAAATCGTTCGAATCCTTCTTATTTTTTGCCCATCTATAAGTCAGTTCAATATGATTCGAAAGCACACAGAGGCCTTTACAAGGCTGCGTGGTTTTCGTCCCCGTGGAAAGCTATATATCCAACTATTTTCGTTTCGCTCTTTCTTGTCAAGGCGTCAATTCACATTATGGCCGTAGTCGGTGATGAAAATGAATTGTTGGACTACGAAGAGGAGGAGACAGAAACTCCAGCCGAAGCTCAGGCGACCAATGATCTCAAGAAGAAAGATGTGAAGGGAACGTACGTCAGTATCCACAGTTCTGGATTTAGAGATTTTCTTTTGAAGCCGGAGCTTTTACGAGCCATCGTTGACTGTGGATTCGAACATCCTTCGGAAGGTACGCGCGCAGATCTTGGCTTTTATCAAGTTTTGAAAAGCAAAATTATTTCTTTGCGGAGTTGTTTTTGTTTTCTGTCGTTTAAATGTTTATATTTGCTCGATGTTGTCTCAAGCAGACGAAAAATTCTGTCCATCTAAAAAGATCTGTTGGCGTTTAAATTATTCAAAGGAACATGTTAAGTTTATTTCAAATTGCGTCATGTTCAAGTTGCTTTGTTTTCAGTCAAATTTCTTGAATGGAATTCTGTTTGAGATTAGATAGAACACACTTGTACTCTGAAGGTGACAGCAAACAAGAAACTGACTGCTAGGACTTCATAAACAAGAAATATTCGATTAAATAATAGCACTGATGAATGGTCAAACAAGACTGAAATATTGTTGGTAGTTGGATAGATTTTCATCAGGTGTTCTTTCTTTTTTACTTCTACAGTTCAGCACGAGTGCATTCCTCAGGCAATTCTAGGCATGGATATCATCTGCCAGGCCAAAAGTGGAATGGGGAAGACAGCGGTGTTTGTTTTGGCCACTCTTCAGCAGCTAGAGCAAATTGACGGCCAAGTCAGTGTGTTGGTCATGTGCCACACACGAGAGTTGGCCTTCCAGATCTCTAAAGAGTATGAAAGGTTTTCTAAATACATGAATAACATCAAAGTTTCAGTGTTCTTCGGCGGTATCAGCATCAAGAAGGATCAGCAGACCCTGAAAACCAACTGTCCACATATTGTAGTAGGTACCCCAGGCAGGATATTGGCACTAGCACGCGAGAAGTCACTGAATCTCAAGCATATCAAGCACTTCATCCTTGACGAGTGTGATAAGATGTTAGAACAGCTTGGTTAGTACTGTTATTCCCACTTTTTGCCCAATTAGCTGTGTGTGTAGCTTTAACTGCTTTACTCTAGGAGTGAATGAAATAGCATAGAGGGAAGTGTTTTGGTCCTAAACAGTAATAAAATTGTTCCAGGTGGTTTGGGAGGTCTATTGTCTTCAAGGCTATGGGTGTGTTCATTTGGGGTGATCCAGGTCAGGGTGAATGTTCCAAGATCACTTGGATCATTGTGCATCAGAGAAACCAATAAACCCACTATGGGCAAGAATTGATCGGTTTCTTAGATGTACCAGGATCCAAGTGATCTGAGATCATTGATCCAGACCCAGATCATCCCAAAGGAAGGCACACTCTCTCTTGAATTCATTACAGATCAACCATTCTTGAAGCCTTTTTCAAAGAGAAATGCATATAATTACTTTCAGGAATATAATTTCTTCTTTCAAGTGTTAACTTATTGTATGAAAATGTGGCTATATCTCTGCAGAAATGTGAATTTAGTGTGCATTTCCCAATAGAATATAAACTTTATCTCTTTTTCCAGTTTTCTCTGTCATAGTTAAATATGCCATTCATGTCTGTCTAGTTTCATCATTTCGTTAATTTCTGTGCATTATTTACTTGCAGATATGCGAAGAGATGTCCAAGAAGTTTTCCGCATGACACCACACGAGAAGCAAGTCATGATGTTCAGTGCCACACTGGCCAAAGAGATCCGCCCTGTCTGCAAGAAATTTATGCAAGATGTAATTATACCTCCTCCTCCTAAGTTCCATTGTGAAGTCTGTTCTTGAGCATTCATTATCCTCATGAAGGAGGTGATGGTGAAGCATGCAGCTTCTTAACCCAACAGGCAATGCTTGGCACTTCCTTGCAGAAGGATTTGATTCAATTATTTGGTTGGCAGTTGTGCAGATTCTGAAGTTGAGGCCAAAAATAGGATGGCTGGTTTTGTTGTCTTTAAAAACAAGACTATGTGTGAAGTGGTTTGAGAATGTCTTGGGTGTAGTTGATGAAACTTGAAACAGGGTACCTACTTAGGACTGAAAGTTGTATAAGTGTGTTTTTATTGGTTGTAGTTGGTCAATTCTGGTAGTTTGAGGTTTGATGAAGGTTTTACTTTAACCATGCATGGTTTTGTACTTCCTGGTATAAGTGTAAAGTTGTTTGGTGGAAAGTTTGGGATCTGGAGAAATTGTCAAATTATGGTGTACCTGTGTTGCTGTTTTCTCCCCTCCTGCTTGGAAGTGCCATGGTTGCCATGTTCGTCACCCCACTATGGTGCAATGAAGAGCTGTTCGTGGTCAAATCTTCAGAAGTCTTGATCATGATGGTTAGCAAGTTAGCGCAAGCAGGAGCAGCAGCCCTTGACACCAAGTCAGCTGCCTCACCTGATGTCAGTTGGTTTCCACTCCAAGCTCCTAGCCCTGCAAGCTGTGTCACTGTGGACAATGAGACATGTTTGTTCCATGTCTTGATCCTTTCAGTTCCAAAGTTTCTGGTTGGCAGAATCGACATTTGTTTATTTTCCCTTAGAGTCAACCAAGGGAAAGTGAATGTAACTGTCCCCTGATCTATCAAAAAAATTAAGTCCTGTGATAATGTAACCTCAAGTTTCACTTGGAAATGAAAGGATTTTGTGTTTGATTCTTGTTTCTTACTATGCAAGTTGTGAAAGTTATGACTGTAGTTTTTGCACTGTGAGCTCCTTTCTTATACTCTGATTTTCTTAACTGTTAATTCATTGTTAGTGTATAGTCTTGTTGAAATTCATTGGTCAAATCTTTCATGATGGGTTATTTCATTTTTGTCTCTCCATTTGTTGTGGTAAGGAATGTTGTTCTCTTTTCTTCTCAAAAAAACAGCCCATGGAAGTTTATGTTGATGATGAGACAAAGCTGACATTGCATGGCCTGCAGCAGTACTATGTCAAACTCAAAGATCAGGAGAAAAATAGGAAACTTTTCGACCTTTTAGATGTGTTAGAGTTTAACCAGGTATTTGACTTAAAGCTAGGAACGTTTGACAGTTAGTTACGGTCAATCCTTGAGTATTTATACTCTGGAATTTGCAAAAGTTATATAGGTAGTTTTGATTTTGTGTGGATAAATTCAGATGTACAGAAATATCCAAATGATGTTTGAGGCTAAGAAGTGGTCATGATTTGTTATGGGCATGTGTTAAAAGTAACGTATATTATGGACTAGTCTAGCTGCATTTAAAGGACTTGAAGTTGGTATGTAGAAGAGTTGTAGATGAAGAGATGTAGAAGAGTTTCTGATGAACACTTACCCATAAAATGTTATCAGTGGTATAGCAGGTTATTGTTTGGTACACTGAACACCAGAACATGCTTTTGGGTTTCTATTTTGGTCAGTGTATTTGTTTGTTTTGTGTGTGTGTGTGACATACACCTTAACTCTTGCAGTGAGTGGTATGATTAGGTACCAGCATACTGTTCCCAGAAGTCTCTAAATGCAATGGACAGCTCTCCTGCTGAAACAGTTCTGATTCATTCATTTAAGATTATTTTTACAAAAGTCAATCCAGATTAACTCTGATCACTGATACAGGTTGGACCAACTTGGATCAACTCAGAAAAGAAACGAAACTAGAGAAAAAATAATAGTAAGACTTGAAGTTAAAATTTACCCAAAAGTCACTTGAAATAAACCAAATCAGGTTAACTATGATCTGCTTCTCCTTTCTGTCAAGCTGCCATCTGCCCTTGGTATCCTTTTTTTCCAGAGTTTTGCTGAAAAGAATGTACTTGCTTTGACAGGTGATCATCTTTGTGAAGTCAGTACAACGCTGCAGTGCTCTTGCCCAGTTACTGGTTGAACAGAATTTCCCAGCAATATCTATCCACAGAGGAATGGAACAGGAGGAAAGGTGAGGCCATGTCATGGTGTCCTTCATGCCTCTTCAAACTAATGGATACCTTGTCATAAATATTCTTTGTACTGTGGTGACAACATTGCATCAAACAGAGCAATACAAAATCTTAGAGACCCCAGTAAAAGGCTTGTTTCAGTAAAGACTAGCAGCACTGTTTGTGAATACTAATAGCATGAGCCTTATCACGCACTCTCATTTGACTCAAACATTTATTTTGCTTAGGCTTCTTTGCTAATGGTAAAATTCATTCACAACTGCAAGAATCATTTCCCTGCTTTTTGGTAACTTTGTTTTTTGTTCTTGTTGGCAGACTGTCACGCTACAGACAGTTCAAAGATTTCTCAAAGAGGATGCTGGTTGCCACCAATTTATTTGGCCGTGGAATGGACATTGAAAGAGTCAACATTGTTTTCAATTACGACATGCCAGAGGATTCTGACACCTACCTTCACAGGGTTTGTAAATAGTTTTATTCTTTTTGCAATAGTGCAAGTTGTTTTATAGTTTTAAACAGCATCGAAATGACACTCTTTATGTGATTGAAAGATGTTCTTTACAAATAGCTGTTTAACATTGTGTTGTTTCTATTTTACATCAGGTTGCCAGAGCTGGACGTTTTGGCACAAAAGGTCTTGCCATCACCTTCGTCTCTGATGAAAAAGACGCCAAAATACTGAATGAAGTACAAGATCGATTTGAAGTAAATGTAGGGGAACTCCCTGAGGAGATCGACCTTTCAACATACAGTAAGTATACTTCTTCATTTTCACTTGTTTAGGGGGAGTAACTACTAATGAACATAGTTTGGAGAGAACTGCAAGATTTACTAGGAACTGGAAGGCCTTGAAAAAAGAAGTTAAGAAAACTACAAAAATGTAACCACATTGCAGAAAATGTCTGGACCTTGGCATATAGTTTTTCTTCATTTTTTCAGAACACTTCTAATCTGCAATTCAACCATCATTGTACTTTGGTAGTACTCAAACAGCATCTCGTAGGGTTGTTCCCCGCCTCCCCTCTGTATCTTACCTTGTATCTTACCTTGTATCTGACATCTTTATATAAATGTGGGAGACACAAAGGCCATACCCTCATCTGACCTGTGTGACATGAAAAAATGCTTAAAGTAGTTTAACTCTTGTTTGTATTGCTGGAAAAGCTAGATAGCCTGGTGGTCTGTCCATGCTAATTTCCCTTGAGGCCATAGCCTTCTAATCGTCTTTATTTTTTCCCAACAGTCGAACAAGTACGCTGAAAAAGTGTAGCTACAGAGCATCCTTGATAACTGTTTTGTGTACGCCAAGAACGAAGGCTATCCTGAGAAAAAATTATGTACTCTCTTCTCCAGTCACTTTTAAATACATTCTAGGAGAGATATCAAGACATCATTCTTGCTAGGATGGAGGCATTTTATTCACCAATTTGTATAAGCATACCACTTGTTTTTGAGTTCTTAATATTGTTTATCAGTGTGTGTATTTTTACCGATTATGTGAAATAAAGTTGTACCTAAGTGTATGCTGTGTTGTTTAAAAAATGTAAGGAATGGGAGGAGATACCTAGTTAAAATTGGATGGAACATGTTCAAAAAATAATCTTATCTGATGTGGGGTCAAATGTGTACAAATTTACCTGAACAGCAGAACCGAAATTAGCCTCTTCTTTCTAAGGGGTATTTAAGACACCATTCGTTAAGATTTCGGTGTGAAAATAAAATCGTCACTGAAAATTGCAATGCCAACAATAAGCTGCATCAAATGAAATTATTGATTCGTGAGAGGCAATTTCATGTTGATGGTGGCTTCAAGGTTTTATATAGTTGAACAAACGAAATAAAAGATGAACACAAACAATGCACCTAGCCTTATGGATGAAAGAGGTGTCAAATTAATAAGAAAGACTGAAAGTAGAGGTTTAAGTGTTGAGGCCAACCGTGAGACAAACAATCTTTATTTACAAGTTGTAACGTGATGATTTGACTGCTATTTCCCCCTAGCGCTGGTGCAGTTGCCATCATTCTAAGGGTGTGTGTAAATGCAAGAAGTGGATAATGATAACACGGACACCTAATGCTGTGAGGCCAATCTAAATCATCAAGACAGTTTGACGGCATTTATTTCCCGGGGTTTTTGTTTGCCTTTATCCCGATCGTCCATAGCAACACTTAAGCAAACTTGTGTGCTGGTGAGGACGGCCGGATATAAGCATAAGGGTAATGTTAAAACCTCGCGTTCTTCTTGTGCTTACGCTTATGTCACTGTTGTGTCCATTGGGAATGTGCAGAAGCATGAACATAAGGGAAATACTTTCAGCCAATCAGCGAGCATTACGCTTTTGCCAAACAATCATCTCTTTGCTAAACACAAGCATAAGAAGAACGCTAATGCTTACGTCGCTACCGTCCCCGCTAGCGTGTAAGCCCGGGCGTGTAAGCTTTTTATACCTGTGCTTTTGCTTGCGTTGCAAGTGACGACGGCTTTTACGAGCGGAGACACTTTGCTGATGCCAAGGTTTAACTCGGTGAAATATGGTAAGCACTCGATCAGATATCTAGGACCCAAATTGTGGTCAAAATTACCAAAGAGCATAAGAGAGGCCACATCTCTCAACACTTTTAAGACGAACATCAGAAAACAATCTCGATGCATTACTGG